TGAAAGAAGAGCACCTGAACTGTTGGTGGTGCCTCTGGTGAGTCCGGTAGAAAATTGTAGCTGTGATTCACCCTTACTTGAGCCGACATTCACTGCTGCGTAGCAGGTTGCTGGTGCTGGTGCGCTCATATTGGAGTTCCTGTGCACACTGTTCACTCGTTTCTCATTCACTCTTTGCTCTTGGTAGAAGACTCTTCTCTGGTGGTGAGTACACTCTTAGTTGTGACAACAGCAAATCTTAACTTTTCTTTCTACCATTAGGCTGAAGAAAATGTCATCTACAGCACCATCAACCACTGTCGCCATCGGCATTGACCTGGGCACCACCAANGTGACAACAGCAAATCTTAACTTTTCTTTCTACCATTAGGCTGAAGAAAATGTCATCTACAGCACCATCAACCACTGTCGCCATCGGCATTGACCTGGGCACCACCAACTCCTGCTTGGGCGCCTTCCAGAACGGCAAAGTGGAGATCATTGCCAACAATCACAACTACCGAGTGACACCCTCAATGGTTGCTTTTACCGACACTAAAGTGCTTGTTGGCGACGTCGCTAAGAGCCAGGCTGTAATGAACCTTCCCAACACCATTTTTGACATCAAACGCCTCATCGGTCGCCGTTTCGATGACCCACTGGTGCAGGCTCGTTTGAAAGACTGGCCATTTGAGGTGAAAAAAAGTGACAATGAAAAGCTGATGATCCAAGTGCAATTCAAAGAGGAGACAGAATGCTTCGCCCCAGAAGTTATCACTGCAACGTTGCTGGGCAAAATGAAAAAGGCCGCTGTAGTTTATTTCAGAACTCCTGTCAACAACGCTGTCCTCACCGTTCCCGGTAGCTTCAACGACGCCCAACGAGAGGCAATCAAAACGGCGGCGTCCCTTGCAGGTCTCAATGTGCTGCGCATCATCAGCGAACCAGTGGCGGCCGCCATTGCCTATGGTCTCGACAAGAAGAAGAGTGGCATCCCCACTGAACAGCATGTGCTCGTCTTTCACCTGGGCGGCCGAACTCAGACCGTCTCTGTGCTCAAGCTCGAGGATGGCGTTTTTGAGGTGAAATCTTCCGTTGAAGGCTATCAAGCTGGAGATGACTTTGACAATCGCCTGGGGGAGCACTTTGTAAAGGAGTTTAAGCGCCACCACCAGAAAGACATCTCTACTGACAAACGAGCTCTTCTCCGACTGCGAGCTGCCTGCGAGTGCGCCAAAAAAGTGCTTTCTTTCACCACACAAACGTCTTTTGAAATGGAACACAAACTCAAAAACAAATGGATTCCGCTCTTGTCGAAAAAGGCAGTTTACTTTAACTGCTCTCTCACTCAGACCCAACTGGAAGATCTATGTTTCGAGCTGTTCCTCTCCACACTTGAGCCGGTGAAACAAGCTTTAAGCAATGCAAAACTTGACAAAAATCAAATTGATGATGTCGTTTTTGTCGGCGGTTCGACGCGCATTCCCAAAGTGCAGGCACTGCTGCAGGAGTTTTTCGGTGATGGAACGAAGCTGCACAAAACAATCAGCCCCGAGGAAGTGGTAGCCTACGGCGCCGCTCAGCTCAGTGGCCACATTACCGGTTCGCACTGCCTGATGAAGACAGGCGTTGGCCCTTTGAACACCGGCTGCGTCACTTCTCTTTCGCTTGGAATTGGTATTTCAGGTGGTCT